AGCTATGAGGCAAGATGTGGAAGAATGGTGCAGGACCTGCAGTACATGTTGTGTTAAAATGGGACCCAAGCATAAAGCACGTGCTCCAATGAAGTTATATCAAGTTGGCGCACCAATGGAAAGAGTAGCTGTTTACATTGATGTTCCTTTGCCCCAAACTCGTGCTGGAAACAGGTACATTTGTGTGGTGATGTATTATTTCAACAAGTGGCCTGAAGCATATGCAATACCAAATCAGGAAGCTACAACTGTAGATTCAGCTATTAGTGATTTCTTCTTCAGATTTGGTATGCCATACAAACTGCATTCGGATCAAGGCCGTAACTTTAAATCAGCTGTGTTCTATGAATGCTGCAAGTTGTTTGGCATACGAAAGACCAGGACATCACCACTTCACAGTCTGATGGGATGGTAGAAAAGTACAATTGGACACTGGGACAGGAATTGACAAAGTTTTGTAACAGCCGCCAAGATGGCTGGGATGTCTTACTCCCTCCACTATTGATGGCCTATAGAGCAGCAGAGCATGAAGCCACTGGATACACTCCAGCAAAGCTAATGTTTGGTCGGGAACTTTGGTTGCCAATGGATCTGTTAATAGAACGCCCACCTTACGAGGAGTTGCCTGAAAATGTGCCAGAGTTCGTGAAAGTGTTATCGGAAAGGATGGATGATATTCACCATCAAGTGTGTTCAAACTTGAGATTGTCTGCTGATTCGATGAAGTTAACTTATGATAAGAGATCTACGGAAGTCTGCTTTGTACGAGGAGACAAGGTGTGGTTGTATAATCCCAGTAAGACCAAAGGGAAGTCTCCTAAGTTGTCTTCTCCATGGGAAGGCCCATATGACATAGTGGATCGTCTCTCAGACGTGACTTTCTGGATAAAATGTGGTCGTCGAGGAAAGCCAAAGGTGGTGCATGCCAACAGGCTTTGCCATTAACACGGTCCAGGACATTTCAGTTGGGATGAAGTGAACAACAGAACAAATGATGCTGCTGAAGACGTATCACCTGAAAAACCACTGTCGAAGAAGAAACTCTACTCGGTTTTGAGAAGGGAAACAGTGAAGCCCTTAATGAAGTTACTACCACTGATGTGACTGTTACCAGTGATAGGACATTTCCTGATGAAGCAGATGAACCTCACGTGAAGCAGAAGCCAACGAGACGGAGACCAGCACAGAAGAAGATACATCCTGTAAAATTAAGAGACTTTGTTGAATTTTAATTTTGTGTTTGTAAATTCTGTACATTTAATTAACTTATTGTTAATTATCTATTGGTTTAATGTAAGTGGCTATTGTTCGGGACGAACAATACTATGGAAGAGGCAGTATTACGACAACAGAAGTCACGTGACGCTGGTAACACGTGATGAGTTTCTAGAAGGATCATGAAGGCTCGAGTGTTTGCCAGACACCCTCTATTTTTTGTATATATAAGCCTGTCAAATAAAGCGGAGCATAGAAGTGACGGCATAGAGAATTGCAGACAGAGAGAGATAGAGACAGATAATCGAGTCAAGTCGTAAGTAAAGTGCGTGAAGCGTTGTGAGTTATAGCGTATGTTAAACTTAAAGTGACTGTGGAAATTAAGTGTATTGCAAAGTTGTATTGAGAAAGAATAAAGTAGTTTTATTTAAGAAAGGACTTGTATCGCTGAAGTTCTTCGGAAATAATTTTTACGGGAAATTAACAAATGACCAGAGACGTAACAATATGAAAGAAGAAATAAACTAATTTGTTGTCATTATGTGGACTAAACTTTTAATTATTTTCACCAAATAATTTGAAAAACCCGTTCAACGAAAGAACGACGTTACAACAGTATATCCAAGTACACTGATATGTCCATCATGTAGTTAAAAAAGTATCAGTAACATGCAGGCTTCAAAAATAAAAAATGGTGTGCAATGTATAAAAATATACATGAACCGCAATGGAAAACAAATAACACAAGTGTCTGTGTCTTTCATAAAACTGGTCGTCTTCTCTATTTGTTTGAATACAAACTAGTTGCTGAGGCTGGATAGAACTTAGAAGGTTTCTAATAAAGTCTACACAGAATAAAATAGGATAAAACTAATGAATGTCTATAGGACAAGGACTGAAGAAGGAATAATCCAATACAAGATTCTTCTTATACATTATGCTTCCAATGTTCATTGATACATAGTCCCTAGTTTGCAATAGACGCGCGTATACAACTAGCGAGTTCACGTGCCTGAGGTACAATCATGGTTATATCGGATCCAGCCACTAGAGTGGAAGGATATGCAGATAATTCCAGGGATGAAAAGGTTATTTTTAGAGACAGTTTAAGAGGTTTGTAACTTACTTTCTCTTGAGAAAAAAAAAGGATAAGAGGTGTTTACAAATTATCCATGCTATTGATGAGATGAAGGCTCTGATTTCTTTGTGCTATATTTTGAAGACAAAGAAAAAGAGGACACGAGGTTATTTAATATTTGAAAAAACTGGCCAGGCCGTAACTCAGACACTCTTGTTTTCCTAACACTGTAACAGGTTGATTAGTTTACGTTGTCAATAGTAGAGGTTGACATTGTACAAGTTTAAAGAGAATTAAAAATTTTCCTATAATTATAAATAAATGGTGGCTTTAAGTTTCAATTTTCAAAAGTAGGGATGTGCAAGGATAACCTTGAATTGAAGGACAAAATGGTCACTTGTTGTCCATATGTTTAGATATATTAATTGTTATTGTACAAGCAAAGTAGGTTGTTCACTTTCATATATTTTGATTTTCTATGAAACTTTAATTTTTCTTTAGTTTTTTGGAAATTTAATGACCAAATTTTTAATGTATTTTATCTTAAAAAATAATATTAATATTAATAACCACTTGGTTCAAAGAAACTTGCATTGTTATCTTTAAAGCATTAAGTACCTATAAAATATTTTAATGTACATGTATTTACAGTATTAAGTTTGGCTTGAAAGTTGTCTTGTAAACATTATTTAGGTGTCTTACAAGTTTAGAAAAGATATGATTCTGTATCCTTATTTTATGATAATGGAAATGTGTTTACAAAGTTTTGTTATATTGAGTAGAGATAATGGATACAATAAAAGTTGTTGAGAAAGAAAATACCCAAGTTAATTTTGTGAAAATATAAAAATGTATGGAATATTTATAATTCAATTTTCATTTATTTAACAGATGTCTATGATATGGTAGTGGCTAGTAAAATTATATAATTCTGGAGCCATTTTGTATGTCAATAATTGAAGATTGGTGTAACAGTACTACCTCATAATTGGAGATAATTGTTTCCTGTGTACTTATTTCACCTGAACAATGGAAAACCAGACTGTAAGAGAGGTAGCTGTTATAGGATCTGGTAGTTGGTAAGTTTATTAACTTTAAAAATTTGGTAATACAACTATAATTTCTTAGTACTTTCCAACTGGTATGGTAAGAGTTTTACAATATTTTTATTTGTCTAGTAGCAGTAATATATCTCAGACTTTCATAAACTCTGCGGATACCTCTGTAGTATACAGTAGATATAAATGAAACAGATAATTTGGAAACTTTCAGCTTTTTATTTTTTATAAGCAATGAGCCAGTTTCTTTTTAGTATGTACAAACTAAGAAATGTCATTCTGAGTTTTTGTATAGAAATAAGACTCTATGTGAAATACTCATATGTAATGATTTTTTTTTGTACATACAAAACTGGATATTTTTCTTTTTAAAAAATTGTTAACATTACTTTCATTTTAGGGCAACCACAATAGCATGTTTGGTAGCCAAAAACATCATCTGGATTCCATATTACAACTCTACAGTCAAAATTTATGTTAGGGAAGAAGAAGAAGAAGTAGGAAACAAGAGTTTGGCTGAAATATTAAGTACACAGCGTGAAAATGTTAAATATCTTCCAGGATTTACCATTCCTTCAAATGTGGTGAGTATTCTAATAGCCTTGCATTTTATTTTCAAAAGTGAATATGGTAGTATGATACCATCCCACTTTGTTCTTCTCTGGTGACCTAGTTTGTATATAAGTGAACACCACTGGTTTAAATTCATGGGTTGCACTAATCGCACATGATTGTGAATGTTAACTACAAAAATAACCATTGCTGTATTGAATGTACAACTTGACTTATAAAATATTTTTTTCATAGTATAGCTTCCACAAGGTCAACTATTCATTAGTGCATAGTAGTATAAACCAGATTATACATTTTGGCACATTACAGGACTCAAAATTAACATCAGAACTCACTTGTCTGTTCAGGTAAGTGGATGGTAAAATTAATGTGCTCAAAACTTACTTTCAGTTATCATAGATTATTTGTAGAAAAGATGCTTGGCTTTTTAATAACTTGGTGTTTTTTTACTTATTTACTGATAATAGAAAACTAGATTTTCAATAGCATAGTGAATTTTTTACAAAAAGTGTACTCAAACTGGAAAGTAAATGCCTCTTTTTAGAAGTATGTATTGCCAAAGCATAGCCATTAAAACAATACTTTAGTTAAACTCTCACACTGTTGCATGTAAATATTTGAAATTAATAATGGTTCTCTTTACAAGAAACTGTAGATTCTTTCTTTTGCTTCTCCACATTTTTTTGAGCTTTGAACATTTTTCTGATGTGTGTTTATGTTCAAGTTACTTGATTCAGTCTTTTTTTTTAAATATTTAAGCAGTGATTTCTAAGAGTTGTTTGATTAGGCCACAATTTTGTGAGCACTTTAACAAGGTTATGAAGACCACAAATGCTGATTGGTTAAAAATTTGATATGCATTATGTCCTAAACCAATAAAAATGCATATTTCTTTATTGGTCATAACATAGTGCTTCCTCACAGAAAACTCAGTCACAACAAGAAGTGCATGCATCTTGGTGCTAACAAAGAAAAATAACAGCAAATTGGAACTTATCTTTTATAAATTCTATTCTGGGATTCATTTATTGTGCATATTATTAATAAGAGCTAAGTTTAGATAAATAATTTTAGTCATGATTATTGAAGATTAATGGTGTAACAGTGCCATTTCACAATTGGAGATCCTTGTTTCATATGTAAATTTATTTGTATGAAGCAAATGTTCACTTGTTTCAGGTTATTAGAGAACTGTTAATGTCACATCCTGCATAATTATGTGTTTTCATTAAAACAGATTGGTAAAAAATTACTATATTTATTGAGTTATACCCAGTAGTGCTGCATGTTAAATGTAAGGCACAAACATGAATATGGTTAGTGTGTTCCACAGATTTTTCATGGGAAGAGATAGATGTGAAGTGATAATGGCCTCTGCTTATTTCTGGTGAATAAAAGGCTGGTTGTTTAATTTTTTTGTGAAACTTTTTCAAAGAATATTTCAAGTTCATTCAAGAAGATAAATTTCTCTATTACTGAAAATTTTATACCTGGCTCTTTTTCTCATTCTTCTATTGTTTTTTGCTGAATGATATTTATAATAAGTATTTACTAATTTTCTTTTTACTAAGCAAACTGTGGAAGGATCAGCACATTTTTTAACTTGTACTTAAAGCACTTGTGCAGAAACCATGAAACAGCTCATTATTGATTTACAAATTATAATCATTAAATATCACTAAGCATATGGAAAAAAGTTATGCATTTTTTTTTTAAACAAGTGCTGATTTCATGGTAAGAAAAAGCCACATGCTTCATCCAGTGGCTTTTACAGCTATCATTTTCAATATTTAAATTCAATCTGTATGTTAGGTTATGTTTTTTTACTTCGGGTAAAAATACAAGTAAAACTTAAAAATTATCCTATTTGTAAATGTCATTAGGTTACAGAAATAGAAAACTTGTATAAATAAATTTGTATTCTTCAGTTAGTAAGAATGACATGCTACAGTGCCATCCTCACATTGAATTGGACTATTTATGATAGCTATTTGGATGGATCTATACATGACTAAATGTTTAGAACGAATGTTTAAAATTCATGTATGGCTAATATGCTGTTTTTGTTTTGCCATTCTATTTGTTATTTTTCAATAGTTTCATTCTATAATTTGGTATTATGTAAAAGTGTGGTAGTAATACCAACCTTTGTCATTTTCATATAATACAAATACTATTTAGTCTGGTTAAGTTTTAATTTTTTTTGTGAAGTCTGTTTATAATGTTTTTCACAATTAATAATCTTAATAAAAGTTTTAACACAAGAACAAAAATTAACATTAAAATTAAATAAAATGTTTTATTCAGGGCTTACACAGGTCTTTCAAATAATGAATAATCATGGAAAATGAGCTCTAAAATTTTAATTTCTTGAACTCCTGGGAAAAGCAGTTTTTTAAACTCTTATCACACCTTAAGAGCAAAATTGCACCATTGAATTAAAACAATCACAGAAAATAATTTTGTACTCATTCATCCACACTTCAGAGTTGAGTGTTATTCAATAACAATAATTTTAGTTATTTAATCTTATACATAAAAAATTCTAAAAATCCCAAATTTTGATTTAGGGTTTATTTAAGTGCACACCCATGAAATCATTAATGTTTCTGAATTTTTTTAGTTTTTCTGAGTATAATATTGCACTCATAACTGTATGAGAAAAGTCATACTAGTTTTGAACAAAATATCTCTAAGTTGAACTTGTAACTTGAATGCAGGTATGGTTTTATTTGTTTTTTAGTCAGTTACTTTTTGTCAACCTCAGTTGTTTTAGTGTGATGTAATTGCCAATATTTCAGCTTCAAGAAGCCATTAATAAGTGATCTAAATGTCCAATGAAAGCTATTTTTCTGATAATTTCAACTGTATAAGTAAATGGCTTACAGTTCAGTGCAAATACACATATATATTGGAATAAAGTGATAAAAGCATAGCTTGGTGATATGTTTGTTCCTTGAAGGAAAGATGTTTCTGAACAACTTCTGCTACAACTACAGACCTGATTTTGTATAGAGCTTGTGAAACTTACTTTATCAATATATACTTCATTTTAATTGTAATGTTGCAGTATGATAGTAAAAATAAATGTTTTTTCTTGAAATAAGAGGGATAGGCTTAGTTAAATAATTTTGCATTCAGTCATATGTTATATTTCACAGACAAGTCTGATTTGTTACTCCATGTTTACAGTAGGCCTTACTAGCTTAATTAACTGCTTGGATGGCCAAAAGAAAATTGCCAAAAATAAATAAAAGAATAAGATTCTTTCCTTTATATTGACCCTTAGAATCTTGTAAAAAGACAATTATAGTTAAAACCATAGAGATGACAAAAATATCAAAATTAAATGATAGGTTGAACAATCACCAAGTTTTTTATATTTTAATTTAAAGAAAAATGATGTTTTGAGCTAGCACTAGCTTGAAACATCATCCTTAGAATCTTGTGCCTTATAAAACCTAAGATTAGAGTTGGGGGTTAGTGGTATTTGCTTTATAATTTTGTAAACCACTACATTACATTAATCTTCCTATTTTCACCTAACTATGGTTTTTATTAAGTAAGTTCTGAAGTCCTTTCACCCAAAGCCATCTCAATCCTTGACTGCCCTTTAAGCATTGCTGAAATTTTTCATTAAGAGCACACCAGTCTTTTATACCCCGTTAATTTTGTGCCATTTCCGAACTAGGGCTGATCATGTGACTACCCTCCACCAATCATACTGCGCCATGTATACTAGCACAGCTAGCTCCCTCCACTATTCTAGAGTAATACTCACTTTCTCATTTGACATGTGATTACGAAATTTTGATTGTGCTTGATCACAAATTTATATCAGTTTCAACTTCAAATTTTGGATTTGTTGTGTTTGCTTTCCATTGTTTTTACTCGTTTGTTTTAGAAGTATTTCTGTTTTCTGAATTCTAATGTGTTTATAAGAATTTGAGATTTAATATGGTGGATAAGATACTTCCTGTGATGGTAGACAATGGTTCTGACACAAGTCCCAAGGTTTCAGGGTAGATGATGTCTGCTAGGGAAGCACAGGCTTTGGTTCATGGGGAGTTTGTGTCTTATGTTCGGCCGACAGTTTCTTCCTTTCATGTTATGATTTTTTGTGAGGAAGGATATAACTACTGAGTAAAAATGTCCTTCTACAACACTTTCCACCTGTTGCTGCAAATATTGTTCTTTTTCCCAGGAGATCTGTTGGAAGATTTCAGTGTGTATTCCTCACTCTCAGTAGGTATATCCATGTTTAGCCAGTTTATGTGAGCTTGTGTGGATTGATTGATTATCACACGTGATAATTTAGGTCTTTCATGTCTTCTCTGCCCAGTATTTGGTTATTATGATTTTTATAATTCTTCAGGGTAGGTTTTACTTTTGTGCCCTCTGTCTTATTGATTCTTTGAGTGGACTTGCAAATAAGTTCTATATTTATGTCTCTTTTATCTTCTAAGTTCCTTTAGTGGTTTTGTACTTTAGGTGTTGCTTATTGATTTATGTTTTAGGTTGAATTTCATTGTTTTCCAAGTTAATTATTTTTATGTACTTTGTAAACTATAATCATGAGTGCTTTCTCAGTAAGTTTAGCTGGTGCATCCTTTTGGATACACTTCACAACAGTTCTGTAAATTCTACAGATTCTATCTGAAGGTTTCTGCCTCCAACTCTGCTTCTCCTCTATCCACTTCTCAGATTTCCTTCCCTTCTCATCAGGATTGTACTTTTTCCAGTCTTCTTGCCTAGTCTGTTCAAGACCTCCTTCACATAGGGGCTGTCGATTGGATGGTGCCCATTCAACCTGGATTTTACTCCTATCTAATGGTTGTCCCTCAACAGATGGGAAATTGAAGACCCGTCATAGATCAGTCTTGGTTGAATACTTATCTGGAGCCACTTCACTTCACCATGGAGTACTACATGTCACTTTGGATTAGAAGTAAGATTCCATGGTGAAGTGTGACTCTGGATGACCAAATTTTCGTTATGGATGCCTATCTTC